AACCCCCTTTCCCACTGCCTTGCCTTCCTCCCTCCCTAAGGCCCTGGCCCCCTCTTTCCTGCCCCCCTGCCAGGGCTCCTCTCCACCCAGGGAAACCGAAGCCCCCTCCAGTCGCCCCCCAGGCTTTGGCCAGAGGAGGAAAGGAAGGGCAGAAAGCCAGGCTGGTTTCCCTTCTCCTGCCCCCCCCTTTTGCACCCCTCCAGGCGGGCAGGATCCCTCCCTTCCTGGACACGCACTCGGACATTTCCCCCCCCCTTGCGTGTCATTCAGGAAGGAAGGATGAGGAGGGGGAGGACTGAGAGGGAGAAGGATGATGGAAACCTCCTCCCCCCCCCCAAATCCTTTATCCACTTGCAGGAGATGCGAAGGAGGATCAGCCTCACAAACACACATAGAAACATCCACAGGTACCTTGCTCTGGTGGGTCATTTGGGGGGGGGCAGAGTGTCTACCTATCCCTACGGGTGGGATCTTGCCCCCCCTCCACATGTCTTAATCATCTTCAAATATCATCCCCCGGGGAGAGAGGGAAGAAGGCCTCCTTTGCAAGGGGGTAGATTTGCAATCGAGAAGGCAGGGAGGAGACCCCCTCCCCCTCTTTTTTTATCAGCCTTCCTTTTTTCACACACACACACACACACACACACACACACACACACACACACCAATATTTCGCACCCCCCCCCTCCTGATGGCGGAAACTCCTGAAGGACCCCGCCTTTGCAAGCGCCCTCCCCCCCGGAGACCATAGAGACGGGCAGTTCAGAGGCGCCCTCTCCCCGCTTCCGGTTCCTGTTTGCAGAAACGCCAAAGGGGAGGAGCTGCTCTACTTCGTTCCTAGCTCTAAGTTTCCCCTTCTCTCTTCCAAACAAGGGAAAAGGGGGGGGGAGGAGGGGAAGGCCTGGTTTAGAATTCAAAGCCAAAATTAGGGCCAAAGGGCAAGAATTTCCTCCCTTCCTCTATCATCATCATCATCATCATCTTCTTCTGTTCCCGGCTCTCAGCACCTCCTTCCCCCCCCCCACGGCTCTTCATTAATTGAAACCGCTCTTTGGGGGGGGTTGCGGAGAACGCAGAGGAGTTCCCCTCCCCTTTCTTGCCCCCCCCACACACACCCGTCTCCTTTACAAGAGAATAGAGGGGGGGAACCCAGAGCTACGAAGGAGGAGGAGGGAGGAGCGCCTCCCCTTGGGCGTTTCTCTAAACCGGAAGTGGCGGAGGGGGGCGCGTCTGTCTCCTCCCATCTCTAAACCGGAAGTGGCAGAGGGGGGCGCGTCTGTCTCCTCCCGTCTCTATGATCCCCCCGGGAGACGGCGCTTCCCAGGTGGTGTCCTTGGGAGGGTCGCCGCGTCAGGACCTGCAAGGAGGCGAGCCATGGGGGGGGGATGAAGGGGTGCAAAATAATTCGGGTGAGGGGCGTCAAAGGAAGGAGGGAGGTGAGAAAGGAGGGAGGGAGGGGGGGGTTCTTTTCCCTGCCTACTCGATTGCAAATACAAGCCTTCCCTCCCTTTGGTCTCCATTGCACGGACCTTGCAATGGTTTTGCAAAGGAGGACTCCCTCCCCCCCCCACACCTCCCCGGGGGATGATATTTGGAGATGATG